CATTCGCCGGAGCGCCGAGCTTGCTGGGACACATGCAGACGGTGCACGGTGACAACCCGCGCGCAGTGACCAAGAGTAAGGAGCTTGAGGTGCACCAAGCACTCCGCGACGCGCTGATCGCCTTTGAGTACCAGCACCACCTGCCCTTCCGCGGCTGCGGGTTGGGGTCGGAGACGGCCCACGCCTTCGCGGACTTTGCCCTGCCGACTCCGTGGGGCTACGTCCTGCTGGAGGTTGACGAGGAGCAGCACAAGGCTTACGACCCCAGCTGCGACGTGCGCAGGGACTTCGACATGGCCGCCAGCGTGGCGCTTGGCAGCGGCCACAAGCTGCTGGTGCTGCGCTACAACCCGGACGCCTTCAAGATCGCCGGCGTGACGCGGCGGACCACCAAGAAGGAGCGCCGCGCACAGCTGATCCGCCTGCTGGGAGAGCTGTTGGCGCGCGAGCCGGAGGCGCCTTTCACCCGCCTCTTTCTCTTCTACGACCGGGCCGCGGAGAACAACGCGCTGCCCTGCGTGGCGGAGCACTGGTCCGAGCCCGTGCGCGCCGTGTCCCGCTGCGCATGATAGTCCCCCAGAGACTAAAAGGCTGGCATGCAACTGAAGTACATGGGAAGCAAATCCTGGCTAGCTCCTCACATGGACCGGCTGCTGGGGGACGTCGCCGTGCTTCACTCTCCCTTCTTCGGCTCTGGAAAGCTGGAGTACTACCTCGCAACCCGGCGTCCGGCCCTGAAGGTGCGCGGCGTCGACGCCTTCGAGCCCGTCACAAACCTGCACCGCTGCTACTTGAGGCAAGACCCGGTCTTCCTGCGCTCCTTGCTGCGCCTGGCGGGGCGCAAAGTAGACAGGCGCTTCTACTTCAGTCACCTCCTGCCGGGCACTCAGAGAGGCCGCGCCGGGCGCCGGGCAGCCTGCTCGTACGTCCTGCTGCGCAACAGCTTCTCGGGAAAGTGGGGCTCCTTCATACAGCAGCGCCCGCTGGGGCTGAGCAGCGTGCGGCGTATGCAGCGGCCACCGCGCAATGTGACCGTGCGATGCCAGGACGCACTGGCCTATCTACGCGCTCTGCCCCGCCAAGCGCCGCGGCATTGTATCTATGCCGATCCTCCCTACATCTTCCCAGGCCGCAGCATGAACTACTATGGCACGAGAAGGCGGGGGCATGACCTGGCCTTCCACTCGGAGCTCCGAGACGCTCTCTTCGCAAGCGGCCTGCCCTTCGTCCTGAGCATAAACGACGTGCCTGAAGCCTGGGAGCTCTACAGCAGGGCCGGCTCCATCACAAGGCTGCGCTCGGGCAAGAACAGCTCCAAGCCAGAGCTGCTGGTGCTGCATCAGGGCAATCCTGCTGTGGCGACAGGATTGAATGAAGCAATCCTGTGCCCACGGCAGGATTGAAGCAGCAATCCTGTGCCTAAACCGCACAAAACGCAGGATTGCCAGGCCGCCAACCAGCAATCGGCCCGCAACCAACAAACATACGAAGGCCCAATACCGACATCGGCCTGGGGGGAGCGAGGGAGGAGGGGGACGCGAAGAAGGGGGGGGAGGGAGAGAGCGGAGCCTGATAAAGCAACAAAGGTCGGATTTCCGGGTCCGACTTCGCTTGCTTTTCCCCTCCCCCCAAACCTTTGGCGCACTTTCGGCCCCAAAGAGAGCGGTGACGAACGGTGGAGGAAAAAAGATGTACGGAAAAAACGGTGACAAAACAATAATCGCAAGTGAGAAAGGCACTGAATATATTTGGGCGCTAAAGCCGCGATTTGGACCGTAATAGAGGACATGGCTCCGGACGCCGTACGAGAAGGGACAGCGAGGGCATAAAGGTTCGATTCCTCCCCGGCACCTTGGCGGGCTGACGTGTTAGAGACCGGTGACTTCGGCGGTGACGAGTTCAGCGGGCTGACGCGTTACGTGGGAGAACCTCGGCAGGCTGACGTGTTACTCGGGAGCACCTCGGCGGGCTGCCGTGTCAGACACTGGCTGACTCTGTGGTGTGCCTCGGCAGGCTGACGTGTTAGAGACCGGTGACTTCGGCGGTGACAAGCTCAGCGGGCTGGAATTCGCAGGTTTTTCGAGGCAGAATACGGATTTCGGAGCATGGCGAACACCTGGAACCGGTTTTCGGAGGAAAACGAGCGAATTTGGAGGCCCGGGCTGCACTTTTGACGCCGGACACGAAAAAACGCACTTTTCGGAGTTCGCCGTTTTCAGCGCTTTTTGCACCAAAAACGGAGTGGTGACAAAGACCGGTGACATCGGAAAAACGTTCAGCGGGTTGAAGAATTTGGCTGTTTTGCAGGGTTTTGGGACCAAAAATCCAAACGAATTAGGGTGCTATAGGCTGCCTTTCCTTACTACTGTATTTCCTTGTTTCCTTGGTATGCGAGAGTGGCCTCGCCTGACAGACCCCGAGCATCTGAAATCGCTCGGGGTAAAAGAGGCATGCTGTAAAAGTGTATTTGAGAAAACCATTCAACAAATCGGATAAGATGGGGATTGCATGTAAATAAATGAATACTTGCCACGCTGAACGTGTGCCAGCCTACACAGCAGTCGTGTAAAACCTTGGCAGTGTGCGCTATGATGTGTGCGACCTATCAGTGTGGATCTGCATGGATCGCTTCGTGCAAAGCGACTTTCACCCACCCCCGTTTGCATTAGAAAAAGGAGAGAGTGCGCTTCTTAGTGCCGGCGGTTAGCAGGTCTGATTGAACGCAGTGTCGTGTGTGTTGGGGGGGGGGTTTGGCTCAAGACCTAAGCCAGTTGTCAAAGCTTGATAACGCTTTAGGAAAGAGCCAACCCCCCCTCCTTGTTTGTGAAATATGCATTTCACAAACACACACGTTTGAGGAAACAATGCTTGAACTCGAAAACTTGAGTGTGCAACATTTGGTTTTGTAGATTGCCGATTGCTTTTTCCCGCCCGCCCACCCCTGCATGTGTGCCATTACTGGCATGAGCAACTGCTCATTCTCTTCCATGCCTTTTTCAAGAAATTGCATGTGGGGATTGCATGAAAATAAATATGTGAATACTTGCCACGCTGAGCGTGTGCCAGCCTACACAGCAGTCGTGTAAAACCTTGGCAGTGTGCACTATGATGTGTGCGACCTGTCAGTGTGGATCTGCATGGATCGCTTCGTGCAAAGCGACTTTCACCTACCCCCGTTTGCAGTAGAAAAAGGAGAGAGTGCGCTTCTTAGTGCCGGCGGTTAGCAGGTCTGATTGAATGCAGTGTCGTGTGTGTTGGGGGGGGGGTTTGGCTCAAGACCTAAGTGGGCTAGAAAGTAGGCAGAGGAAGAAACGCAAGATGCCTGAGAAAGATGGCATTGTCAAAGTGCATGCAACAGGCAAGGTGTATCATACGAGTGCGCTTTGTCAGCACTACAGAGGGGGTAAATCATACCCTAAATGCAGCGTGTGTGCAGAGCATGAAGGCAGCATGTTAGACCACCAGTGAAATCCAGTCATGCCCTGCACACATGTGAGCACCTATGAATATGGTGATCGCAGCATGGAGGCTCTAAGCCATAGCAGGAAAAGACCGCCGCGCTACCGCTTTGCACGTCGCATAGTCTGACACGTGCTTTTGGGTGATGCATCAAAAAGGACATCACAGTACTTTGAAAGTCAAGGTTGCTTTGTGTAACACACTGCAGCAACGGTGGGGTGTTACATATTTCGGTCTGGCACATGACCCTGTACAGACTACATACTCATGCCGGTACCAGCATAATGGTGACATGCATTCACTTGAACAACTTGTGATTCTTTTTGCACCTGCTACATGAGGCTCTATGGATGTGAGAAAGGTGCTGAACTTTTGAGTTTTTGTTTGACACATCCAAAATTGGTTACATGTTGTAAGACTGCCCAGTTTCGAGTTCTCGCCCAGTGTCGGGTGTTCCAGTATCGAGTGCTTGCCCAGTGTTGAGTCTTCCGTGTTGTTACGTGTCGAGTTCCCCATTTGTGCAAGAAAAGAGAAAGGAGTGAATGCTTTCACGAAAACAACAATTTTTCTTCAACCTCCGGCCTCATCCGCTTCGCAATTGATGTGGTTGACCGTTCGTGCTAGCGTATTTGTTCGGTGTTATAACCACCCGCGCAAAACAAATCTGGGTTTATCCCATTATTTTTGTCTGGCTAAATCGTTCGCCTGGCGGCTTGATATGATACATTGACATTCTCGCGCTCTCTCTCTCTCTCTCTCTCTCTCTCTCTCTCTCTCTCTCTCTCTCCATTTGTGACAATAGCTTCGGATAGCTTTCGCTGTTTTGTAAGTAATTTCTGATAGTTCCTGTGCAGCCTGGGGCCTAGCAGATAAACAAACCCACGGAGCCGCCAATATGTTGATGGTATCTCTGGTGTGCTGCTTTGTATTGATATTTGCTGCTTTTCTGTGATGATGTTGATGAAACATGAATGGTGTGTGAAGCTGTGATGGTTTTCATGAACATGCATGAGGTGGTGATGCCTGTTTTATTTCTGATGTTTGTTGCGTGTTCCGTTTTACGATTTTATGAACGAATGATGCAACTATTATTGTACGTTACGTATTCATTGTAATTTTGTTCATCATTTTTGTGCGGGGGCGGGGACTGGTGGTCGGTCAAACATGAACATATTTGGCGATCAAATGATATGTTTGCATAGTGGGCATGGATGATGTTAATTATTTGTTGGAACCGTTGTTTATGTTCATTTTGCGCGTCTCCTGTCCAACTTTGTTCTCTGAGCTTGGCCCAATTTGCGGAACAACAACACAGCAACTGAGTGCAAAAGGACAAGTGTTTGGTAACTTTCGCAGTTTCTTGCAGCACGCCCCGCCAGCATTGTTCCTTGCCAATGGTTCGCTGGTGAGTGGATCATGGAGCATTTGCAGAAGTTCAACGCCGTGCGTGTAGCACGGCAGGCCGAGGGTTGAGCCAAACACAGATCGGCCAGCTCTGCTGCTTGGAGTTGCCGGGGCATATTCTGCTTCATTTCGTGCAGGTTTTCCATATGCAGCCGGGCCATGTTCAGTGTGAGCCCCGATTCTCCCCCATCAGCCCCGACAGGGTTTCTGAACAAGCTGAAGCTCCTTTGGCTCGCCAGGTACTTCCTCACTTACCTGGCTCAGGGCACTGGCCGTGTTGGCCGGGATTACCTGAAGAGCAGACAGCCTGCACGTGGGCCGTCGGGACGTGCAAATTGGATGCAGCAAATTGGTATCGGGGCTTATGAACCCAGGCTCTGCCGCCGCAAAGCTTTCCATGCGAGAGCTGCAGATCTTCAGCAATTTGCTTCCCGAGTTCGGATGCCCAGCAGCATTTGAGGAAAATGGCACGCGCTTAAAGAAGTCAAGTGAGCGGCCAAATCTGTTTGTCCTCGCATATTCTCCGCTGCAGGAAGCTTGCCTTGGGCCTTGAAGCCGGTGCTTGTGACGCTTGTCCAAGTGTTAAGTGTGATTTGTAAGCGGATGCTTGCCAATCCCAGGCTCTTGGTCGAGCGGCGCTCTCCCAAGACGAGACAACAGGTGCTGCTTGGCAAAGACGGCGATTTGATCTTTGAAACGGAGCGCTGGAGTCGGGGTATCCCATAGAGAGCGCTGGAGAAGCTGAGGTTGGCCGCAGCGGCGCTGATTACGGCTGCCGCCTGGCTGGCTGCTGGGGGCGGCCTGCTGATGGCGACAGCGATGGTATCGCTGGGATCTGCCGCAGCTCAGCGCAAAGTACGTTGTAACTTTGTAGCTTCTTGTCTCTCTTCAATTTGTAACTTTGAATTCCGCTTTAGGCTTGACTTTACTCCTTATTTTTTTGTGATTTGGTTCTTTCATATTTGCTAGCCCGTGTTGGAAGGTAGTTGATGGTCTCACAGACGGCCTTATTGCAGCAGAGTCGACAGAAACGTCTGCCGCCAAGCTGCAGCGCTTCGGACTGCATGGGGTTCCCGGCATCGCCGGAAGTTCTGCCTTAAAGTTTCTCTAGAGACGCCGTGAGGTCTCTTTGCCAGTCCGGGCACAGCATCGGGGCTTCTTGGCTTGGCACAGCCCATCCCCCGTCCTTTCCACTCCGCCAGAGGCGCTGTTCGTGGGCATCGCAGCTTGGATCTTTGCCATGCCGCACCGCGACTGCAGGGAGCGAGAGAGAGAGAGAGAGCGAGAGCGAGCGAAAAAACAGAAAGATTAGAAACAGATGGAGCGATCTCGAGCACCGAATATAGAGAGAAGTCTGAAACCCGAGGAGCTACGTGGCTTTGGGCCTGACAGCCGTGGCCTGGGGAGCTGTTGCACCTTTTGCCCTACAAGCTGGCCCTGCCCCTTCTCGAGGCTGAGCGGACTCGAATCTCGACGAATTTCGACGAATCTCAACTCGGTGCTCGGGGCTCGGCTTTGCGAGGCACCTTCGAGATGAGGCCCGAGGTGCTGCTGCTGGCGCTGCTGGGCTTCTTGGTGTGCCTGGTGCCCCCAGCCGTGGCGGGGCAGCACAGTGCCATGAGTCACATGCCTGTGCCCCTTTGGTTCGTGCCGCTTGCCTTTTGCAGATGTGGCAAAGCCAAGGATAGCTTCCTCTATCGCCAGCACGTCCTGGGCATCGCAAGCTTTCAGCAGCCAGTCGTCTCGATTGCTGGCACGGTGGGGTGGTTCGCGTGCACGGCCATGTTCCGCAACCTCTCCGAAAACCGCAGTCCAGAAGGCACACGAGCTGCCAAAACCCGAGATGGGTTTTGTCTTCAAGTTTTTTTCTTTGAGATGCGAAGACTTGCTCAATTCCCGGAAAGCCGGCCAAGGCGCCTTGCGTCTATGTCTGAAGCTTTGGCCGCTGCCCTTGCTCGCAAAGCTGCTGCTGCTGGCACCCAAGCCCTGGGCAATGGCAGCTGCTCTGCTGGAGCCGCTGGGGCTGCGTTTGATTTGTGCGTCTCGAACTGAAGTGCCTTCTGCTCGCTCCAGGAACGCGGCGAGTGAGCGCCTTGGCTGAGCCCTGGTCTGATTTTGCTGCACGTTGGATGCCTGATTGGCTGACGCACCGCTCAGACTTACACTGTTGCAATCTGGACGTGTGGAAGGCTTTGAGAATTTGCATCCGCAGCAACTATGACTTGGTGACAGAAAGACGCGCGATAGTGGATTCCCGCAGTTTTTTGTGCTGCCTTGTCTTGGCAGTCTTCCTTCCTTTCGCTGTTACATTGATGCGTTGCTGCCCGATTCACCCTTGTTCTTCGTTGCAGATAGCATCGCATTGCCATCTCCATAAAGATCTCATTTTTGTGAACAGCCAGTGCTTTGTAAGCAAGGAACTTGCTGTCACTTGCCTTTGACACATTACGGGCCCATGAGCCTCCTGAAATGTGGCGGGAACCGGTGTCCCGACCATCGCTCGCAAGTGGAAACTGCCCTGAAACATGGCATTGGCTCTTTGTCCTTCAACAGCTTTGGCCTTTGTCGGTCTTTATCGTTGCCCCCTGGAATTCTCGTACGCAAACTGGCATTCGCGGATCTAGTCTGTGGGACCAATGACTCGGTGCAAGCCAATGCCTATGGCCTTGCCGTCTGACTGATTCTCTTGTTTATTCATGTTTATTCCCCGCGGGCTCTTTGGTTTGGAGGCCTTGGGCAATCTTCCTTTTGAAAGGTTCGGGAAGGCGCTGACGTTTCTGCCGGTGACGGTGCTGCAGCAGCTGAACAGCCCACCTGGCTGCGAGGCCGCCGCCTTTACGCTGATGCAGAGCGGCGGCACCATGGGCGCCTGGGCTCACAACCCGGCCCCAAACTGAAAGAGATAAGAAACAACTCAGTTAGACTCAGTTTAGTCGAGATGGTTCTTCTCTTTAGCCAATGTTGAGATCGCAGCTTGCCTTGTGAAGTGTTGTGCGAGTGTTTCAGTGCGGGCGATGTTTCTCATCCTTCGGCTCTCCAGCATTCAGGTATGGTTCTGGGCCGCAACATGGAATGGCAGCTGCTGCAGTGGTGCGGTGTGGACACCGCGCTGGGCTTTGGCCTTGGTTCCTTGCATTCCTTGCATTCCGATCCACCGAAAATGAAGTCTGGTCTGTCCCAGGCGCAGCGGGCTTTGCTGGCTACCCCCGCGTAGTGCTGGTGGCTGCTGTGTGGCGCGTGTTGACAGCCCTGGCCGTGCTACCGATACTGAGTTGCCTGAACAAGAAACAGAGCCTTTCTGAATTACTGATCTTTACTGTTGATGCGGTGGCAGTGGTGTGGCTTGGCAATGTCGGCACCATCGGCAACTGTTGGCAAATGTTTGCAGATGTTTGGACCATGTTGGTGCTCGGCTCGCCGTTGCATGAGGCCTGAAGCATTGAAGCGCACCCACGTTTGCAAGCTGGCTTGGTTTGAAGCAGCCGTTTTTTCCCGGCATGTCAGTTAACACATTCATTCATTTCGTTGAAAGTGCCTTACAACATACTTCGCTCACACGCAGAAAAAAAACAACTTCACCACACACACACACACGCATACACATGCAATTACAAGCCTGACATGGCATGCTTCCCGTCCTGAACATTTTCTCGCTCCCTAATGCAATGCAAATCGACTGCGAAACCACCCATCCGAATCGTGGCAAAGAGCTTGCAGGCTTGGAACTCGTTTCTTCGGATCAGATTTTGATTGATTGTTGATTGTGTTTCACTGGCCAGTTCTGCGTCTCGGGTTCTTGACACAGCGTGCCTGTCAGGCGAATGGGCCAGTGTTGCTGGGGCGGACTTCCCGGCCAGCGCTTGGTGCAGGACCAGCTCAAATGCCTTGGGAATGTGTGGGTCGATGCAATCAATGCATTCGGAGGAGAGTTGGGAGAGCTGACAAGCTACTTGCCTTGGCTCTCGTTGAGCTTGGCAGTGGCATTTTCACGGAAGCGAAGGCGTCGCTTTGCCGGGATGCTAAGTGTCAGCCATTCGTGGGTAGGGAAGGCACGTGGGATGCTCTCTGACAGTCTGAGGCCTTCTTGAATAGAGCGGAAGATGTGCTGCGCAACTCAGGCAGCCTGGCTGCATTTCAGGAAGCTTGAGCGACCTGCAAAACGATAAGAGAGAAGCAACGACAGAGCTGTTTTGGGTTGCATGTACTTTGCACACAGCACTCATGGTGAACACACGTGGCTTTCGAGCTGCAGCTGCCAAAGTGTTCTTCGCGTACCTCAGTTGTACTGACCATAAACGCAACTTCGAGTCGGAGCTGCCAAAATGTGCTTTGCATATTACGCTTTATCAAAAGTTATGATTTCTGAGCTGGAAGTGTTCTTCGCAAACTACACTTGTACTGAAAAGCTGTGATTTCTGAGCTGAGCTGTTGAATTGCACTTCGCATATTAGGCGACTGGATCGTTCGACGTGTGTGTGTGTGTGTGTGCGCCATTGGAGACACAACCTACAGTGAACAATATCTCCGCTACACTGGTGAACAGTTGCGACTTTCGAGCCGAAGCTGCCCTACGCTTGCACTGCAAAGTGAGATTTTCAAGGCTGACTTGAACTGCAAGAGCTGGATGCCGCTCCGACGCAAGTAGAAAGAATAACAGGCTTTGGGGGCAGCTAAATTTACACTGTGTTTTGGTATTCAAGGAGCAGCGGCTGGGTGGCCGGCGACAGTGTTCATGAGTAGGCTGTTCACTTGTGTCAGTTTTGAGTGGTACGCTCAGGGTTAGGGGTTCGGCCAGCGGTTCACATCGGCAACCTAACCAACCTAGCCAACCAACCAACCAACCAGCCAAACCAACCAACCAACCAACCAGCCAACCAACCAACCAACAGGCTTTGGGACTTCCTCTTTGTTGGGTTCCGCATATCTTGCAGGTCTACTTGGGCGTCGGCATTTGCAGCTGCGCCCTTTGGAGTGCGGGTTTGGGGCGGAAGTGCGAGGCCGGAAAGTACGACTCCCACGGACTGCGGAACCTTTGGGTTTGCACGTCGCGGAGTGTAGGCATCAACGTGCCAAGCGACCTGACTGCAGCTGCGCTGCGGAGAGCTTTGTGGCAGCACGGGTTATTGATCTTCCGCGGCCAAGATCTGCTGCAAGAGGACGCCGGAATGTGCGCGAAACTGGCGAAGGCAACCGGCCCTCAAAGTCATTCGTGTGGAAGTCGCAGTCGCGTCATGAAAGCATGAGGTTTCGCCCCGAAGGTGCCGGATCGAATCGGCTAGGACTTGCTCCGCCTGGCCCAAGTCTTCGCCGAGGCGCCGCAGCTGGGAGTCTACCACGTGAAGGACCGAGACCCAACGCCGCGAGGCGGGGGAGTCAAGGCATGTTCGGTAAAGGGAGAGAGAGACAGAGAGAGAGAGAGAGAGAGAGAGAAAAAAGGAGCGAAAGAGACACGGTGGGGAATCACACAGAACCTCGAACAGAAGGCAGAGGAGCGAGGTGAAAGTGTCCTGACTGACTCCAAGCAAGGAGCTACCATTCACGCATTTGCAGGCCAAGACTTTTGGCATTCCGACAATTCCTATGCCTGAGCCTGAGTTGGCGATCGCATCGTTACCATGTTGGCTCGGCTTGCGAGGCCGCAGTGCCGGGTGGGCCCACGCTTTTGTACGCTCTAAAGGTGCCCGAGAGCGATCAGGTGCGTAGACACAGCGTGAGATGTGGGACCTGCTCTGCACCAGGGACCGCTGGGCGACACGCTCTTCCTGGATGCTGCGGTAGATCTGCCGCCAGAGCTGCGCAGGCTCTGCGAGAACCGCCGTGCTGGACACAATCTGGCAGCTCGGCATAGTCATCCGACTTGAAGGCTTCCGCTTCAGTCCGCTTCAGTCCGCTTCACTTCCGCTTCACTTCCGCTTGGTTGGCATAGGCGCAGAATGGCGGGCAGCCCCTGCCAGAATTCGTCTCTGGGGACTGGCAAGAGGTGCCTGACGCACTGCAACCGGTGCTGCGGAAGCATCCCATTACTGGCCAAGAGGTGGCCAGCGCCCAAGCCACGTTTCATTTGACGTAATTAGTCCGGGCTAAGTCTGAGACCTTAGGTCTTTGTCAACGAGGCATATGTCCGGAAGATCGAAGGTTTGACGCAGGACCTGTGTCGGCTCTTTCGTTGCAATACAAGGCCTACGGGTTCCAAACAAGCCATGTTGGAGACTTTATGCATTTGGAAGCCCTATTGCAATTTCTTGCCGCTTTCCTCCAGAAGCCTGACATTCTCGCAACCGTGTGCAGGAGCAATCAGTTGAACTGATAGCAGATTTGCAACAGCTCCTGCTGCAGCACTGCTACCGACACAGATGGCAAGAGGAGGACGTGCTGGCTAGAACCTCATTTGGACGTGAGACACTGATGAGTTACTTAGGCCTGTTATGTTGAGGTCTGGGACAACCATCGGCTGCAGCACAAGGCGCTTGCGCTGGCAACAGAAAAGCAGCTAACGGATTCCGTGAATTCATAAAAACATATTGATGCGTAAGCGATGTGTTTTGACATCTACAGTTGTTGCTGTGGTGCACCTTCTAATGGCTGCAAACTATGCAACGCATATATGAGGGAATGAGACAGCGAGGGCCCTCAACACAAATCGCTATTCTTTTCTGCAACTTTCCGAAGGCCACTACCTTGGAGCTTCCGAAGGGCTGTGAGCGCCTGATGTGGCGGGTGCAGACCCGTGGTCCAGGCTTTGGTGAAAATACGAGAGGTGCATTGAGTCATTGAGCGTGCGGCCAGGTAGGCCGTGGCTTGCAGGTACTTGTATCTTGGTTGTTAAGTTGGAACCAGAGGGACTTCGGGGTGATGGAAACCAGCGAACGGTGGTGACACTTGTGAAGTTGCCGAGCTGTGTTCTCACAGGATGGCTTTGTTGGCCCTGGCCTTTGGCTCCAGACACGGGGAAATCAAGACCAGAGAGCCGCGAGACACAAGGCGCTTGGCAGAACTGAGCTTCGAGCATATGGTAGAAAGATATAGACAGATGCAGACAGCTAGCAGTTCACGGCTTCAAGCGAGTTTGCCATCCGGCTGGGGCAACACAGAGCTCCAGGCCTCACATCCCTTCTGCTTGCCGCATGGGCTTCACGCCGCGGTAAGGTCTGGATCCTAGTCGTAAATTTGGCTCGGGGAGGTTAAGCACACCTGACCAAATCTCGAACATTAGGATTCCTTCCTTTGCAGGCAGTCCGACAGTCCTAGCTTGAAACCGCACATCGCTGGAAGGCAGGGGCTCTAGCCCAGCATCCGCCGACCACGGCGTGGCCCAAGAGGCTCTGGCTTCGGCAAGATGGACACGGAAGCCATTGCATTCACACCAGTGGTTGATAGATTTCAAACAGCCTGGCAGAAGCTTATATGCGCCAACAAGACACATTGCACAGTTAACCTGTCAGGCCCACCTATACAGGCCGTGCCGGTGTCACCGCAAGTGTGCCGCTGGAAGCTTATTGAGCTCCAAGCTCAAGTTGCCCCTCAACGCCTAAGGATCCGAGGCCAGGGAGGCCGGGGACTCACTGGGACTCACTGAGACTCACTGGGACTCACTGGGACTGGGATGGGCCAACGGCCCTGTCATGGGGCCAGGCCCAGATTTCCCGCCAGGAGCGGCGCCAAAAGTTGCCGTGGGTGGTGTGGACGGCACCTCAGCTTTTCGGGTTGGAATGGGACAAACGGACGCCGGCCCAGAAAAAAAGTGTTGAAGAACATAGCGGGAGCTTTGTCCACAGTGAAACGCTGAATGCTCTGAGGGCGTGAGCTTGCCGCAGCAGGCTGCGTTCGCCTCGGGAGAGCGAGAAGAGAAGAGGGCCAGGCATGTCATATTTGGCGTCTGGCATGTGTGGCCCAAGGCGCATTCACTGGCCCGGCGGAAGGAGAGTGTACAATGCGCGCCCAGCTGTGTTTCGGGGAAGGGAGGCAGAGCGGTCCTGGCCTCAAACTTAACCTTGGGTACTTCTTCCTGAAAGCGCAATGGTGAATTGAAGCACCTGAAGCATGTTGACCCGGACCTGACATGTGTGATAGGTATTTACATATCAGATTGTGCGTGTTTATAGCATTTGAACATATACACATATGTATATATATATATATATAATGAATGGACCCTGGTTTGGTGAGTTTGACCTGTGTGAGTCCAGTGTGTTAAGCCGGCTTTGCTTTGTTGAGTTTGTGAAAGCTTTGGGGGGTGACAAATGTATATATGTACACATACATACATACATGCATACATATATACATATATACATGCATACATGCATACATGCATGCATGTATACATGCATACATGCATACATGCATGCATACCTGCATGCATGCATGCATGCATGAATATAAATATGTACACATACATACATAGATACATACACACACATACATACATACCTACCTACCTACCTACCTACCTACATACATACATACATACATACATACATACATACATACATACATACATACACACATACATGCATGCATCCATACATATATGTATATATATACATATTTACATGCATGCATGCATGCATGTATACATGCATACATGCATACATGCATGCATACCTGCATGCATGCATGCATGCATGAATATAAATATGTACACATACATACATAGATACATACACACACATACATACATACCTACCTACCTACCTACCTACCTACATACATACATACATACATACATACATACATACATACATACACACATACATGCATGCATCCATACATATATGTATATATATATATACATATTTACATGCATACATGCATACCTGCATGCATATAAGTATGTACATACATACATACATACATACATATATACATAGATACATACATAGATATATACATAGATACATACATAGATACATACATATGTACATACACGCATACATATACATACATATATATATATATATATACATGTTGAGAGTATACATACCTTGGGTACATGTCACGGTAGTACAGCTTGTACATTGCCGTGGCTAGACATGACCAAGGCCTTGAGCCTATACAAGTTGCCTAGAAAAACAGTTGACTACAGCTGCGCTGATTCACATCACAGGTTCTTCACATCAGGCATTCAGGTAACACAAAGTTTAACATGGTAGCGGAGCACCAGTGACTACAAGCATCACCACACCTGGGAAAGATCCAGCCAACCAAAGTACACAGTGACACAGTCAGTGACAATGGCGGCGCAAGGAAGTACACAACAAGCACAACTCCAACAGCAACTGTCTGGAGTCCACAAGTACAGAATATCACCACCACGATTCAGTGGCGAATACACCACATTCAAAGAAGGGAAACACAAGATGACAGCATACCTTGGCTTGCAAGAGTCATCATACAACAGACTACTGAATCAAGCGGAACAATCAGCACAAGCGATCGCAAACGATCAACTGGAGCAAGCCGCACCAGATCAGGACACAGCAGACAAATGGTTACAACTCAGCGGAGATCTACACTTTCTGCTCGTCAACACATGTGACGGAGCAGCATCAACAATATGCAGACAGAACATGCTCGGCAATGGTTTCGAGACATGGAGACAACTACACCTGCGTTATGCACTGCCGCTTGGTACAAGAAGCATTGGTTACCTCACCAAGCTACTCAAACCACAACTAGACGAAAACAAGTTCGAAGAGAGCTTTACAACATGGGAGTTTCAACTCGCCAAGTACGAACAGGACAACAGGACACTACTACCGGATGCAATCAAGATTGCAATCCTGCTCAACGAGAGAAAAGGTCCACTACAACAGCGTTTGCAACTACAAGCAGGCAATATCACAACATATGCACAAATCAGATCACTGGTTGTGGAGGACCACAGAGCAGCGTCGCAATTCGTCAAACTACAAGCGACCACAAGCGGCGACAACCAAGGCCGAGTGGCCAGTTACAACTATGACAACGGCAACATGGAAGACACTGACGTCACGGATGACTGGTGCCACAACAATCACGATGGAAACTGGCACCACAGTGACCAGGCACAATTGCATTCCAATCAGCAACAATGAGCACTACAACAAGGAAATGAACAGATGCCTTTGATAGTCTCTGGACTTGAAGAGGTGATCATTGCTACAGCAACGGCACAACAACAAGAAGGTACAAGCAACAGGTGTATCGATCTCATGATCGACAGTGGTGCAGCTACACATGTCTGCCCACCATGGTTTGCAACAGAGTCACAAATACAACCACTGACACCAGAAAACGGACCACAGCTGAGGACAGTGACAAACCAGCCAACTATGCTGCATGGATACAAATGGGTTTGTGTGAACAACATCAACGGACAACGCATTGTCATACCGTTCTACGTGTGTGACATCAAACAACCCATACTATCAGTGACAAGACTGATAGAACAAGGATTTCAGATTGTGTTGGATGACAACCCAAGGATACACCACGACAAGGGCTTCGATAGCAGCGTCACACGATCACATGGACTACTCTTCCTACAAGCAGAGATCGCAACACTGCCACGAGGAACAGAATTGAAGGTAGACAAAGAGCAAGGACAGGTGGCTATGATAGCACCAACAACCACACTGACACCTCAAGGAGCACAGTGCCCAGGATATGCAGGAGCCTACTGGCAATTCAACAGCCAAGGAGAGTACATCGGCAATACAGGAAGACAATGTTCACACTAACACGAACACAGTGCCCGGTTTCGACAGACAGACTTGAGAACTACAGAAGAACAACGATCAAAGGAGAGAACGGCGCAACAAGGACAATAGAGGATCGATACCAACATCTCGACAATCCAAACCAGGCACAGCCAACACTGTGGAAAGGAGAGACAGTGTGCAGGTTGAAGAAAGGTACAGCACTCCCAGACACACTACAACAGCAACTGGCGGCAAGACAGCAGCAATCGCAACAAAAAGAGATCACAACATCGAGAGTCACACCACAAGTCATACAATACGAACCACAAAGAAGGATAACAGGAAAGCAACCACGACAAACAGTACAACAGCAGCAGTCAGGGACGACTGGGTCAGGACAAGGAATTCCTCATCCATCGGAACTACAACCCGGCGGAGACTACTGGTACAGAGAAGGACCATACTGGAAACGAGTCCACGTACAACCACGCACAGCCTACTACGTACCAGAGCAAACAGATGACGGGCCGGACATTTCGAAGTTGAGCACGTACAGGCTAACCCAGATACAACCAGCAGCAGGAGGAAGCATCAAGCTAGTACAGGACGAATGGACAACTGAGCAATCAAAGACACACGACACACCTTGGACTGGCTGGACAAACTTCGAGGAACAAGAACAGTGCCCGACACAACTGGAGTCAGACGATGAAGAACAACAACAGGGAAGAAAAGCACGAGCAGTACAAGCACCAAAACAGCCTACACCACAAGAGATACTAGAACACAACGTGACACACCTTCCATAAAGAAGCTGGTGTCCAACATGCGTACAGGCTCGCGGTCGGGCGAACAATCGCCCAAAGGAACAGAGCGCACTGCCAATGATACAACTAGACTTTGCATACCTAAAAGGCTTCGATGACAGCAAGGTACATCCGATACTCACAGCAATCGACATACAATCAGGCATGATGATGGCGCTACAACTTTCAGAGAAGCAACGACTCTTTGATTACGCCGTACAACAACTACAACAGCTCCTGGTGGAATGCGCTAGAACAACACATGTGATACTACAATCAGACCAAGAAGACTACTTGGTCGCACTTACAAAGGCAGTGGCAAACACCGTGGGGAACATAACCACACGCACTTCACCGGCGCACAGTTCGCAATCACAAGGAGGCGTAGAACGGGCACACCGCGCACTCTTCGGACAGACACGAACACTGAGAGCACAAATGTTTCAGAGCTACAACAGGACAATCACCATGAAACACCCCATCATGCCATGGATAGTGCGACACAGCGCTTACATTGTGAACAGATACGCCACACACGCAAACGGATTCACAAGCTTCTACAACAGATGGCACAAAGAGCAACACACTCCACTGTGTGAATTTGGCGAAACACGCTTCTTCATTGGAATATGGCTAGGGAAGGATACAACCACAGGCGAATCCCTCATAGGGATATACAACAAGATACTGCGTGCACGTACGATACGACGACAGATCAAACCGCACAAGTGCAACCAACAACTCTTCGACGTGATTAACATGGGGCCGTGGAATACACCAGCGTCGGCACTTACTACGCCGACAATGCCGACAACAACCACGCCGACAACACTGCCATTACCACAACGACAACAGCGGACAGCAAAGCAACACAAGGATGCAACCACGAGCGCATCATCAGATGGCAAGCTCAATACAGGCGAACAAAAGGATGAAGGCTCGCCAAAGAAACAACAGAGAACGCAGGAACCTACATCGCCGATGGCAACAGCTCCACCAATGACACAACGACCAGCGCTGCCAATGCCTACATCATCAACAAGACCACTACCGGATGAAGTCACAGAAGGCAGCGCAAGCAAACAGCAGAAGACAACAGCAGGAGCACCAGTAAAGGAGAGACCCACTACAGGAGAACAGCCACAACGCAAAATGAGGATAAATGCAATGACAGTCAACACAAGGGACGGCAAACACGTCGAGACAACATCAAATCAGGATCCACAGAAAATAGAAAGTGAAAGGATACTACTGGAACCCATACTACATGGTACAGAAGGACTGGATCTAACCAAAGTTGCAGCAGGAATGAAGAAGGAGATACAACAAATGAAGGAACAAGGAGTCTACGCCGAGAGAGACGGCGCTACACTCACGACTGAACAATGGTCCAACATCGTAGAATCCAGATGGGTACTACGACCAAAACAACAAGAGGTACGAG